TCAAGAGTAGCCAGCAGAGAATTTTGGTCTTCATGCCTAGGAGATGTGTCCAAGATGTAAAATTTAGATTTAGAGAATCATGTAGTAATTTAGTTGGAGGGACCCTGTAAAGTCCAGCCCTGCCAAAGCTCACTGCTCTGTGTATGTTTATAGCCATGAGATACTAATAAATAAAAGAACTGCTTGGCAGTGATTATGATTTGGTTATACCTCCTCAACATAGATATAAATATTTAGTTTCATGTTAATCAAAATTTCTGGGGGATTCAAGGATTTCTTCTCAAATTGAGATCCAGAGGAATGTATTTGACTTCAACTGTGTTTCAGTGTCTATGAAGGTGAGATAAAGGGGATAAGCCTACCAGGTCACAGTGTCAGTATAGCACAAGTGGTAGCTGAAGATGTAAATCTCAAGCCTATTCTATTTTTTCATAACTCTATAATATTTCTTTCCATCTCTCAAAAAATACCACATTTCCCCTCAATTTCTGATATACCTTGGAAGAGCTTACACTGTTGTCAACTACCTTGGTTTTAGCGAGGTAAATCTGCTAGTACAGAGAGCTAATGCCTGTGCCCCTGTTTTATGTAAATCTGACAAATCTGCCAGACTACTTTTTCCATTGTAACAACTGTAAAGAGAAACCTATAACTCTGAAAAGGTTTCTGTGTCACTAGTTTAGAGAAAACATTCCAGACACAGCCAAGCTCTTCACGTTCTTCTTGTGCTGGATCCGGACTGGGATAATAACTAAACCTTTGGTTGATATTATTATCAAATATATGTTACCATATTATTGGAATCCTTGTCATGTGATATCTCCAGTTAATGTTGAACAGAAACACTATCTGGACTTCACTCTGCCATAAATTAACCCTGCCAAGACAGTTTCAGTTCAAAAAAACCCCTTCAAAATGACAGCTTAGTCATAAAGTAGATTCCTTAGGTTCAGACAAAGCATAGATCTTCCTCTCACTCTTTGGAAACATTCAGCCAGATTTTTACAGTGTACAGAGACTTTTTTTAAATTTCCAATATTTTGAGAATCACAAACACTACTCTCATTTCCTTTCTGACTCTGTTTTAACTGCCACTGATGCTTTATAGTTCTCTGGCTCCATCGATATTGCTGCTGAGTTTGTTATGTGCGAGGAAATAGGAGTTCTTTAGATACTTGTGCTAACTGGGAGAAGAAAAGAGAAACAGCAGATTTTCATCCCAGTTAAATTACAGTATTTTGAACACAACTCCTCTTTGACTTTGTCAAATATTTTGCTTCTCAGAAAATATTATAGGACAATAAGGAGGGAGAAAAGAATGCCCTTTGAGGATACTATCTATAAAAATGAGATACTTTAAAATAAAATACTTACATTGGAAAACTTTAAACTTATAGTAAATGTAGTCTTTTTTCTGAACTGTACCTAAAATATAAAGAAAGAAGTTACACTTGCAGTGCAGAAAGGAACAGCATTAAAAGCAGGACTGTGCCACTGCTAGAGACCAATAAATTGCTAATTATTTTCATTACTGCTTTAAGAGGCCACACTGAGCAGATTCTGTACAAACTGCAACATAATATAAAACTATATTTTTCAATGAGGAAAAAAATGAGTTTCCCTACTTAACATGCTGCCAACTCAAATATTTAGTTTATTTTATCCAGTTCTACTAGTGGTTTCACCTTGTTCTCAAGTCCTGACTCTTATTTTGCATTCTTTTAAAGCTCAGAATTTAAGATACATTATCTTAACCCTTGTGTTAAAGGATTTCCCATTTCTAACAAAGCAATTAAAGCCTTTTCATTTTCCCTGTTCGTTGGGAATTTGGGAGGTTATTTGCCATTGTAACAGCATTTTACATTTTCAAAATCTCTTTAGTATTTTCCAGATAACACAACTTTTTCCCAGGAGGCATGTTTTCTAGACCTGTAATTGTTCTTGCTGCTCTCTTCTGGTCTCCTATTTACCTAAATCTGTGCAGAGGAGTGAAATTTGTAAGCAGATTGGGCTCTCTAGCTAAGGCCCACCAAAGTGAAGAAGAACGATTACTCATTGCTTTTCCACTATAATCCTAAGAACAGATTTTCTGGCCAGAAACCCATTTTCCACAGAAAGGAAGGAAAGTAAATCACACATAAATTTATGTATATTAGTGCTACGTATATGGCATAGTAACTTGACTTGGTTTGCTCTCTATGTTTTCTTCTTCTGATCAAACAGAAGCTCATGATTTAGCCAGATTAAGCATTCACTACAATTTCCAGCTGAACGTTTTCAATTTTGCTCTTACTATTCTTTCTTTGAGGAAACGACAGTTCTCTTACACTTCTTTTTTTCCTTAGTATCCCAGCAGATCCAAATTTTTCCAAAAATTATTTGAAAACAGCTTTTCTAAAATATACTCATTCTTTATTTGACTGTTATTCCTTCTTATCTTCTCTCAAATGTAGATGCATTGCTCAAAGTTCATCCTTTAAAATACCCTAAGTGGTGCAAAAATGACAATGCTATTAATAAACTATGCCATAAGAGAGGAGGGAAATAACACACTACTGAGAAAAAGGAGTACAAAAGTTGAGTCAATCTGGCATTTTTTTCCACGTACAGAAAGAAAAATACTGTCATTGCAAGCAAATTGTAAAGAGTTTTCCTGAAAAGACTGCAACTTGTAAGTTTTGGGCAGGAAATAACATCATAAGATGTTTTATTGTTTTGTTTCTCAACAGAATTGAGCACAAGAATAGCTTAGTTATTTTAGGCCTTGACAAAGGAGTACATATAGCTGTCACCCATACATATAGCAACCACTCAAGGCCTTCAATATTTATGTCAGCAATAATCAGCCAAATCACAGCTCTATTTCTTAAAAGCATCCCAAACTTTCACAAAATTTAAAAAAGTAGAGGCTTGAAAGTTTTTTCTGAGGCGCGTTTGGTATACTTAAACTAACAAAAGGTAGTTACACAGGTCAAATGTAAAAAGTCTTCTAAGTTTGTTTTTTTTTTTTTAATATCCAATTAATTTTCTAATATTGCCACCACTTTACCTCTGGAGAACGAGTACTTTACTTTTTGACGTTTTCTGTAGTTGTCCCACTAACAGATGGCACAATAACCTCCACCAGCATCTTCTCCTGCAGGGTGCAGGAACATTTCAGACTACAGACTTCTGAGCTGAGATTTCTGATGTACATGTCCTACTAGGAAATATCTGATGGGGAGTTTGGTACTCCAAAGAGATGGTGAGTGAAGCTGAAGGCTTTGACCGAGGTGCTCTGGTTAATGGAGTCAAGTGTTTCCTAGCCTTGCCCTCTCCGGCTGTCTGTCCTGAACTACGCCTGGGGTGAAACCTCGCAGTGTCAACTGAGGCGTGGGAAAAGAAACAATCACATTTTCCCTTCTGCTGCTTTTGTTAGAAGGACAGTAACCTCCAGTAGAGGACAAGAAGGGATGAAGTTTTGAATCTCAAGTGTTGCTTGCTTTAATTGAAGTGTAGTCAGAGCCCGGGCCCTGCACAAGTGAAATAAATAGATTGTGACTAAGGATAAAGGTAGTTCTTAGCAACTGGAGGATAAATCAGAGAAATCGGCCCATCTAAGTATCTAGAAGATGGCTAGTTGTATGAGAAGATAGAGGTAAGAATGTACCAATTTGGGTAACATATGTGGACCTGCATGGTTAGACAAAATACCTCCATAAACAACTGTCTGCAGGATGGTGACCTAATTTTCAGGATTATAAATTAAACTTGCAGATAATATTGTAGCATTATTTATTTTTACCTCAATGGTAAAATTACTCCAACTTCATTCTCATCTGTACATTCTTACTGTTGTATTTTTTTCTATTTTAGTAAACTACATTTTATTCTAGTGTAGCTAAAGAAGGCTCTGACACTTTTGCCACTGACAGCACTCTATGGATACAGTAGGATATGAATTAGAGAAGATCGGGTCCACTTGAAATGCAACAGTATTAACTGGCATATGCCATAAACTGAAGTCTTTAGCTCTGAATGTTATGGTTCGTTGCAAATAAAACAATAAAATCTATCAAATACAAATTCTTAAATCATTTTGATACAGGCTTGGATATTTTGTAAAAGTTCTTCAAAAAATCTTTTCAGGATAACCCTTTGAACTACTTGTTGACTTTTCTAAAAAGGTATGCAATACAGGACAAAGGATTTAAGTACCCCAAATCCTTTTAGTTTAATGGAAACAGGATGCCTAACTAAATCCTCAGAAATTCCACAGTTCAAGATACTTAATTTTTTAAAATTCCCTACATCTCAAGATTAAAATGAAGAAAATATCTATGTATATATAGCAGAAAGGTTAGAATGAACTCTGCTTTCCTTAGACATGCATATATACCAAAAGCATTAAATTTACTGAAAGTCAAAATAAATTTAAACTTCTGTTAGAGGTTTGTCTTGTAGTTGTTTAACGGCTATTTGTTTTTTAATTTTAACTTCAGTTGAATTAAGTTGCGACCTCAACCTTACCCTCAGCAAAAATGTATATATGTTGTAAACTGTTGGACAGAAAATAACTGTTGAGGTAAGTAGTATCGATGTCAGTGCATGACACGAGATGAGGTTGATGGGCCTTGGCATAATCATAGTGTCTATCCCAGGGGGAAACAAGTTCTCCGGCAGCTTTACTAACGGCGAGGTTGGCAACATGACAAATAAAGCCCGTACACGCTTACTCGCGTGCTTATGCACCAGTATGCTGGGGAAAACAGATGGCAAAAAAAATGTTGGTTCCAATACCGCACTTTTGAGTTAACAAAATTTCAACTGTTTTCACAAGCAATTTAAATAATTCCAGAGAGTTAATAACAGTGCTAGTTTTTCATTTTCTACTGATTCTTAGTGTCGAACACTAATTATCCGCATTCTTGCGCCCGTTGAAACTAATTTGGATATATACCAGAATATATATCAATCTTGACAGCACGGTTTAACAGTCAGCATGCTAATGCACCAAACCTTCACATATTTAAGGCTATGGTGAAACCTGAACAAGAAAAAAATGAATTCATAGTCGTCGTAATTTTCCACTTAAAAGTGGTGAAAAACTATTGACGTACGAGCAACAGCGTGTTGTAACAACGTCTTACTCTTGCTCCATGAAATCAGCAGGCAGATTGAAACTTGCACGTATTAATGCTTTGTTAATCCTACTTATTTCACTATTGATAACTGCTCACCTGTAGATTCTCCATCATCCCAGAACAAGTCCCCAGAAGCTGCATTGTTGTCATCCAGGGCAATTATAAGTCCCATTGGATTCTTGCGGCTGTGGAAAGAGAGACTTTCTGTCTTACGTGCCTATCAAATACCTAAACAGTCTGAATGCTGTGAGCTACTCACTGCTTATATTGTATACACTAAATGCTATTGAATGCTACATTAATGACTGCCATCAGATATCTGGAGACAACTTTCTTTAAAATGTTACATGCTAGTGTTTTAAAAAAAAAAAAGTACATCTACATCAGCTCAGTCCTGATCCCAATCCCACAGATCATTAGAAAAGATTTTCAACTGCAGCGCTCAAAGCTACAGAGAAAGCTTTCTTACCCATGGCATTGCTATTCATTAGGAAAACACCAAAGGAGGCTCCAGTGCTGTCTTCCAAACACAGGAAGAAAGTTTGAACTCCATATAAGTTATGCATTTCCTTAAAACATTAAAAAAAAAAAAAATAAGCTGATTAAAATCTAATAACAGCATCTGTTCTGGGGTATTTCAAAATATGTCACAGGCAGAACTTGAAACTTCTCAAAACACAGCAAACAACCAAAATATAAATCCTGACACTTTCCTACAGTTCTGTTTTCTCTTTCCTGGCATTCTTCTCCTTTATGACAACATTTTGCATTAAAACAAAAGTTTCCCCAAATATATAGATAACCTAAGCAAGTAGGTATGATGGATCTTCAGGTAAGTCTGCATATATTGCAGTACTATTTCTGGGTAATATATATGCACATCAGGCTAACAATAGAACTTGAAAAGTGTTTTCATCGCCTTCCACCATAGATTAGATTTTATATCTAATCTATATTTCTATTAATCCTGCAAGGCAATCATTTTTACATCTAATCTACGGAAATAAGAGAGTGCCTCGCTCCTTTTTTATTTCCTTTCTAATGTTTTTTTCCATTGTTATTAGCAACAAAACCCTTAGAAATGATAAGGGCTGTTTTCATAGTTGTGCTTCTTCCCCTGCAAAAGAAAACTCAGAACAATTTAACGAAAAATAGAACTTAAGCAATCTGAAATTAGTCTAACTTGATTCTGTTCACTGTTAGTTTAACTTAATGAGTCTACACTCAATAGAGCCATTTGGGTAAGAACTATCTTCAAATCTCAACGTACTAATTATGAAGAGGCAGTTTGTAAGAGGAATATTTAGTAGAGATAGGAAATAATAGGCATTATTTCTATAATAGAACTTGTTTATAGTGAGACAAATGTGAGTTAATTTAGACTTTGGTCCTGAAAACAAAAACGAGCTTCATGGTGTTTCACCTGGCCAAATCATACTCTGCTTCGCCTTCTCTAGAAATTATATCTTGACAGTGCCTGATTAGTTTCTCCTGTCAAATCCCCCCCAGCTATCAAATTTGCAAAGAAAATAAAAAAATATATAATCAAAACACAGAAAAGGTAGAAGGCTCAGAAGACACGAGAAATAGAAGACAGGGGGAATGTGTCTGTTTATTTCAGTGACTCATAGGGCTGCTAATACATAATTACAGTTGTCATAACTCCAGATGGATCTAAACAAGAAGCAGGAGGCTAAGGTCCTGTTGGGCCCCTTAGTGTCCCACCGGCAGAGTCGGGAACAGCCATGCTGCCAGAGTTGGAGGCTGAGGAGCAGCAATATTTACGCTTGTCCTACAGGTGTGCTCTAATGTTCCCACTTTCTGAGCTGGGACCTTCCTCTCCATGACCTGTCTTTGCTAGCTAATGGGGAAGGACAGAGAGGTACCACGAGGGACAGCTTAAGGAGATTCAAATCTCGATTGCGCACTTGCAAAGGTATCTACCCACATCTTCAGATGCCTAAGAAATTTTAACAACTTATATCATAACGACATCCAACACTAACACTGTTCTCCCTAGTGAGCACAATCAAACAGCACTCACCTTGCCACACATCAACCCAACACTGCAATCTCTTCTCAGAAAAAATTTCCCAGAGAAGGTGTCTCAAGGGAAGGGGTATGAATTCCAAATTATTACTTAACTACATAGAGTGGTCTTTCCCCTTAGTTTGTGTTAGTACAGCTCCTATTTCAGCAAAACACTGAAGTGCTCTCTCATATTTTATGAAGCTGAGGTAATAGTGACAAATGGTGCTTATTCGAGGCTTATTAGCTACTTATAAATAAATTGCTTTAGGAACTCCAATAAAAAACAAACTAAAAATATTCATGTTAAAGTTTTTTCTTTCATGGTCTACATTGATTTCTTTCTCCAAAATAGTGTGTTGATTATGTACCAGACATAGAATTTTCAATGTTTTTTGCACAGCATTAGCTCAAGTGAGTGCTTACAAGTTTCACCAAATATTTCCCCAGTCAAAGCAAAAGATATTAATGAACATAGCAATAAAATTTGAGTGATTACATCCCCAAAGCACAGAAAAGACTGTCTCTGGCAATACAAAGTCGGAAAAAGCAACAAGAAGAAAATGAGTATTCTCGTTTGAATTGGCACCTCACCTGATTTTAACCTACATATATTCAGTGTATGTCTGTCAGAAAATCACTGCAGTGAGGAATCGACAGAGCAACACTATGTACCTGTGTGCACAACTGTTAAGAGAACTTCAACCAAAGTCTAAGGAAGTCTCTGTGCAGATATAAGATTCTTCTCTTTCAATCATAGAAAAATGGGTGCCCTGGAAATTGTTTTGGAAAGAGACAGTAATACAGACTATATAAACAACTAACTGCTGATAGACATATTTTATCTTGTAAAGAGACAGCTGTTAAAGAGAACTTTCCCATCATTTGCTGAGCTACGAGGATGCTAACTCAAGAAGCATGTGTCATCTGTACTGAATGCTGCACACAGCAATGCATTAGGACATATTGTTATTTATTTTCTTTATCAGTAGAAACAGAAGACTCATGTTAATCAGCTGGTTTTCAACTGAATCTCAACACAAAAATCAGAAATCAGGGAACGTTCATCAGAACTATCTAGTTTGTTAGTAATAACATGCAGTGCCTGACAAGTCTTTGGGCAAAAACTCAATGAATATTATCACTGTGTCTACTGCATAATAGGCTTGGATTCCAGAAGTCATCTGCAAAGAATAAAACCAGTCCTTACTCCAGAGGGGCCAATATCCCTGCTGAA